GGTCAAAAAGCAACTAACTGGGGATTGTCGTACGGCCACTTTCAACTTATTTTACTGGATAAAATGTCCTCCTGAAACATTATTTATCGAATAAGACTAAATGACTAACATAGAATTCACTCTCAGTAAATTTTTCAGCAGGACGAACTCATCATAAACGATTCACTTAGTCATTTACAAACCTATTTTGACTGGAAATTATGAATCCTTTAAAACATAGTTGTAATCATTAGATGGCTTAACCATCAACTAAGTCTTGCTACTTGTTTATCTTACGATCGAAAATGATGTTGGGGATATGCCATTGAAATTACAACGTGAGGGGATCAAATCAATTAGGTTGAAATAAATTGTTCGGTAATTAACACTATTCACGAAATCCCAATACATTTTTACGATATTTTGAGTTCATAATCAACACAGTGTCATTATATATAATCGACAAAGCTTGTTTTGGTTGATTACACTGGTTAACTTCAGTATATTCGTCTGTGAAAATGGTTCTTTTGCTTCAGTTAGCGGGACAGCAAAACGAAAATAAGGTAGTCTCGTTCAGGATGTTAAAGTCGGAGTAGCAAAATTATCAACACAGTGCACAAACACATTAAATGAAGAGAGTGACCCAGAACACCATTTTTGCTACTTAGAGTTTATATTATAAGGGTTAGTTTTTCAGTGTCCAATATAAAAGACAAGGTTATATGCTAAGGAGTTTTCTAGAACTAGTTTACTGGGGTCCGTTTTCACAAAACACTTAAAGGAGCAGTTCAGCTGTCTTTCAGCTACTCTAAAATTACCCACCCTTCCCAAACATCCTAGATGGAACGTTGAAGTAGCCCCCCCCCCGACTCGAACTAAAGTTCCCAAAGCTATAGCTAATCTGATGCAAGGAAGAGCAGCTGATCCAGATGGGTTGACTCCAGAGGTCTTTAAGGATAGTGGTCCCATTTTAGCTGGAATCTGGTAGTTGGACGTAATCTCATCTGATTGGTCTCAATCACTGATTGTCCCAATATATAAGTGAGGGTTAAAGTCATCCTGTGACAACCATAGAGGGATTAGTTTAACTAACTAAGACTCATGAACTGCAAACACGAGAAAATCAGGCTGACTTTAGGCCTGTTCGTGTCTGTATCGAACATATATTTGCCATCCGTTAGGTTCTAGAACACAGGCATGCTTATCGGCGTCCAACAATAGCAGTCTTTCTTGACTTAAAAGCAGCATTTGACTCTGTAGACCGCGAGATTCTGTGGCAGTGTCTGTCATCGAAAGATGGACCTCAGAAGTGCATTAACCTTGGGAAGATTCTTTACTCGAACACTACTAACGGAGTGAGAGCTTATGGCGAACTGTCATATGATTTTAGAAGCTCAAGTGGTGTCCGTCATAGCTGTCCACTACCGTCATTTTTTTCCAACTTCATAGACATACTGCTGGAAATAACATTCTCATCGACTGAATCTTCAGGCATTGACCTCTTTTTAGGAGGTTCATTTATCGACTTAGAACACGCAAATGACATAGTCCTGTTTGTTGAAGACACTACTAAAATACAGTCCTCTGGTAGCATTGGACAACAGTGCCAGGATGTTTGGAATCTTCATCGACCGAGATGGTTGGGCCACGTGCTACGTATGTCTGAACACCAATTATCACGACGCGCGATGCTGATTAGTGTTGGAGATCGTTGGAAGAAAGTTAAGGGCGGTCAAACCAAAACATAGCATCAGTGTTTGAAGTCACTATTTCCTCGTCTTAGACATGTTGGTAGATGCAGACTACTTGGCTGGGGTCCGTGTGACTATCGTAACTAATGGTTGATGACTGGCTCAGAATCGATCACGATGGCGTAGGTGTATACACTCTCTGTCTTCTCTTTAACCATGAGATTACTTTATACCTTTCTTTCTACGAACTAATTCTTTCTCTCTCAATCATATCATTCTACGCAGCCTTTTTTATATATTACTACCAGTGAACTAACTACGTCTATGGATTCGGTGTTCATCTTGTTGTTGAGGTATGGCAACGTGGACCGATGCATATATGCGCCTGGTCCTACCTGACCGACTAATAACTATCTTATGCTCTCATCTGGATACTGAAGCCATTTGATAGTTTTTTTTGTAATTCAATAACTCCAACATAAACTACGTTTTTTCTTTTAGTTGACTAACGAAGAAATGATAGCTGCAAGACTAAAACCTTACGAACGAGATTACTGCGCTCACCTTTTGCTAGCTTTCAGGAAATGCTTAGATGAACATGCTATACCAGCTTTTTTCTGTTCCGATCAGAAACATAAATATCTTCATTGTAAAGAAAATGACCAGTTGTATAGAATGAAGGAATACGAACGCGAACGCCGTCTTTTACACAAGCGTACATCGATTTCAGAATGATGCATAATAACCAGGACATCGTATTGTACAATAATCTCGAACAAAACGAACGAATACAGACAATTATGCCTAGAAGTTTGTTTCATCTTGCTAATAGCTGCATAATAAACATTTAGAAAGAAGATGTTCTTCAAATTATTTGTAGTTTATACTCTATGGCGTTTACTTTTTTGGTTTGCAAATATATACTTCTCAACTAGCTACTCAGTGATGTTTTAGACTATCATTGATTATCAATATACAATTAGCGATTATGACTTTTAGGGTCTCGGTTTAGTGGAGTACTGATAGATAGTATTTTCAGAACTTGCTTTTCACTTACTGGCTACAATCCTTTTAATTATTGTACTAATGGAATTGTTTTTTTATGTTTAGGAATAGATAAATTTAGAAGCCAAGTTGTTCTTTTTCTGGCCATAGCATTCACATTGACTCTGGGTCCTCAGTATCGCGTTTAGAGTTCTGGTAGGATATCTGTAGGACAAATTAGATCTCATACTAGTCGTCACGAAATTCTTGAGAAAGCTGATTGGGATTAAACCTATTATGTGGGTGACTACTCAACTAAAATATGATTATAAACTAACTACTCTTTAGAGTTTTGTTGGCTGAAAGCACCACTTTCAGGCACCATGTACGGCATTTTGCGTCCTTGGTATTACATTTAATGCCACCTTCTTGTGTACATGTTACCAATAATTAGTTAATCAGTCATACACAACATAAGACCTAGCGCGTATGTGCATTAGTCCGAGTTGGTACATCACACTAAGATGACGGTATGAAAATATCAGGACATCCCCGAGAAGGGAAATATTCATAGTATTAGTAGTAGAAACGACGAGAGGAGGCACGGGGAGGTTTCGAGGCTAAGGATGCAAAGAGTGACGAAAGGTAAATGCATTTGCGTGTCGCAGTTGATCCTGGGCAGTTTTATCCATCGTTTTCCACTAGTGGTTATGCTAAATTTGTAAACCCCAACCAGGTAGTCTACACCTATCTACATGAGTTGGTTCAATTATCAATGACGTCATGGGCTGATGCCAAGTTTTAGTTTGGCCGCCTCTGTCTTCATGTGACCTACTTCTAGACCAATGTTGCCCATCGAGGTAGGAAGCGGTTGGGCACACGTGACACATGTCCTAACCATCTCAATTGATGAAGATACACCACTCCATTGACCAACTTACCATCTTCGTTCGCAACCTTAACTCTAACCTCATTATTGCCCACTCAGTGTTTTCAACACATACGAGCGATGCTTCGAAGACATTTGTGCGGTAACATTAGTGACCTACGGTTAAAAACCCATTGATATTTTTAAAATCAAAGTGTGCCTTATTCCTTGTTCTCGCTCCAAATATATGTTGTTCTAAGATAAATACTTTCCCTCGATTTTGTGTAACAGTTTATTGTGCAGGTCTACAGAACCAGAATAAAAGTTTGGCAATAGTATATGCTATTTTATAAGGTTTAAGATATTTGAACGATACTTCAAGACCAATGAGCGGAAACAAAGTCATAACTATACCGTAAATTACGAGTAGGAGGATTCTACACAATTTATATTGTCTATTCTCTAAAATTTTCAGCATAATGATAATCGGAGGTATCAGGAATATAGACGAACGTTATTATATTACAGGTGCGGAGTTAACATGGATCAGAGTTATACAATCGTCACTTTAAATGTTAGAAACAAGTAGAGGCAAACAAAATCAGCCGTATTTTCGACGTGTCAAATACAACGTAGATTGTATTGCTTTCGGAAAGAAATACAGATAAGTATTTATGCTTGGAACACAGTTTTAAGCCTATTAATGCAGTGAGAATGGTAGCTGTGGTTGCATTAAAACCGTATTTAAAATGCCAGAAAGCGAATCGGTTATTTGTGGGACGTGCAAATGTATGGTTTTCATGCTTATCACTTGTTCGAATATAATAAAAAGCAAAACTGTTGTCACACATGTGTGTACAACATACTGCAAGTTAAGCGGTAGGCTGACATGTGGGATATATTTTAGGTAGTTTGGTGTTTAGACTTACAACCTAATTGACTAATTCAACTTTATGGACAAGAAATCTGACTCTAACGTTTATTCCTGAGGTGTAAGCACGGTAGATACTCTATGAAGATATAAACGTTTGGAAACAATTGAGTTTCGATATCTCTCCGTCTTAGTAGCTGTTTTTTATGGGTTGGAGTGACCAGAATGTTCCATAGTATAACTGTGTCCCGTTAGATAACTAGCTCTTGTCGTGCATCTATTCAGTCAGCAAACCTCTCATATTCACGTTCTGGTGTACATGAAACATAGTTCATCAGTAGGCACGATTACAATGTCAACAAACAATAAACTCAAGTCAGATGTCGATATGATGCACTCGTGGAGTACTATCCAACAATTGGCAACCTTTGGGCATATTAAACCGCGATCTATCGTTTATTGTGTTGGGAAAGGGCGTTCTACGCCAAGGGTATTAATGGTTTTACTATTGGTTTAATTTGGGCTGTAGGAGCTTAACTAGTCCGTGAATTGAAGTTGCAAACTCTTACCTAGTAATAGTAAGTCATAACAAAGAACAAAGGTTATTAGAGAATCAACATTTCATGTTACTTATTATCCTGGAAGTATTGATAAACGGAACTGAGAGCGGAAATCTGGAAGGTGCATTCGACCGCAGGTTTATCCAAGAAAAAAACAGTTGGAAAGGCTGCACAACTTTGTACGAGATATCAAAAGTTATCTAACAATAAATCTGAAACTCCCATAACATTACAATTTAAGAATCACCCATAAACTTTCTCCAATAAACTGAAATTTCTAATTAGGAAGTAAAAGTCAGCAACCATAACTATTACTGCGCACAACAAACCACAGACAATACGCGAGAAGAGTGATATGGAATAACTGGAGGGCATTAAATTAGGAAGGAAATATCCGAACGCAAAGGCGGACATCACAATAACAATAAAATTGAGAACCATAACGAATTGTTTCCTAGCGCATTTGAGTTCAGAAAAGCAAGTTTTCTGGGCCTTGGAAGTTGTTGAAAAGACCATGGGTGTACCAATATCTTTCGTTATTTTTTCGTAGCATTTGTTATTATACTTATTTCTTAGTTCTTCAAAATGAGCATCGAGACCTTGATTTTTAAAAGTCTGCTTTATCGCTGGAAGGACTACTGAGGTGTTTAGAGAAATGCGCCAAAATTGGAGATAAATATTGTCTTTGCCTGTACTCGAGAGCTTCTTTGTTAAGTGATAGCAGTCATTTAAAACTGAGTACGGGACTACAGATCTTTTTTCTAGTACTTGACTTATTGAATTTTTGAGTTCTGGAGAGCATATATCTAGACCACCAACCTTGGACAAATACGTTGCAAGTTCATCGGTGAGGATGAAGTCCAGATTGATTGACCTTGAGCCCATCTGCTTTTACGCAGCAGCAGTGTGACCCACAGATGATTGGTAAAAACAAGAAATATTCTTCAGTCAGTCTTCAGTAATAAGGATAGTAGGTTGATGAACCTGTGTTAATCCTGACACATTGCTTTCCAGTGAAGGTCCGGCTTTTCCTTGAAAGTATTCACTGATGGGGCTGGTACCACTTGTTCCGGTAAGGCGTTCCAATGATTGACTACTCGATGAGAAAAACGGAACCCCATTTTAAGTTTATTAGATCGCGATTTATGAACCTTCTTGCCATGACCTCGGAGATTATTAGTGCTGGAGGGGGCAAAAAGATAAGACATATTAACACCCAAATCATAATTAAAGATACGAAATGCCAGTATAAGGTCACCTCGTGTCCTACGATACGACAAGGGGAAAAGATTTAGGCGTTTTAAGCTCTCATCGTAAAGGAGTCTAGAAAGACCCTTCACTAATTTCGTTCCCACACGCTGGACACGCTCAAGGGAGTTAGTATCCTTTACCAGACACGGGCTAGCTGCTTGGATACAGTACTCTAAATGTGGTCTAACATATATGGATATAAAATTCGAAACGTCTCCTCGTCAAAAGATTTGAACGCTCGGCGAAGTGACCATAACGCACGAAAACCCTTGACAGCGGCTGCTTTGCAATGCGCAGTTGTTTTTAAATCATGACTTAATATTACTCCTAAGTCCTTATGCTCTTGAACGCATGGAAGAGGTTTACCCTCAATAGTGTAACGGTAACTATTACCATGACCGACGTGCATTGGTACACTCTTCCTAGCATTGATTTCTAAGCCCCACTCTCGAGCCCATCTAACTAAATCGTCTAAGTCAGCTTGAAGATCCACATGATCAGCCGCACTTTTTATTGTTCTCCAGATTTTTACATCATCCGCAAACAATAATGTCGACGACCTAAGTAACAGTGGTAACTCATTAACGTAGAGAAGGAAGAGCAGAGGGCCTAAGATGGTGCCTTGTGATGCACTACTTTTGACCATCTTCCAATCGGATAGCGTTCCGTTGACCCTCACTCTCTGTCTGCGGTCACATAAGAAATTTCCTATCCACTCATGTACAGTACCTATTATTCCGAAGCTCGTGAGCTTCTGCATAAGACCTACGTGAGAAACCTTAACAAATGCTTTGCTAAAATCTATGAATATCACATCGACAGACAGACAGACCGTTATCTAGGGTTGCTGTTCAATCCTCCCTCGCAATAAGCAAGTTAGTCAAGCATGAACGCTTGTTACGAAATCCGTATTGCTCAGGAGCTAACAGATTGTGTAAACTATGTGGCTTAGCAACCTAACACGAATTATCTTTTCGAGTAACTTAACGACTATGCTAGTTAGACTGACAGGCTGGTAGTTAGATACTATCTGTCGCTGACCGTCGTAAATATAGGACTAACTATAGCGTCCTTCCAATCTCTAGGGAGTTGAGCGAGTGAGAGGGAGATGTTGAAGAGTGTCGCAAGCGGTTTTGAAATAATGTCCGCAAGAGATGACAGCAACCGTGGATGTAACCCGTCAGGGCCCGGTATCTTACCAGGTTTGAGGTTAGTTATCAACGGAAGGACAGTTTCCTCAGTCACCTGTACAGATTCAATGGTTGGTAACTCGGTGTGAGTGGGACAAGTATTTGTTACAATAAACGTAGAGAAGACTTCGCTAAAATAGTCTGAAAAAGTCTCAGCTTTTGCTCGATCTGATTTAGCTAGTAATTCTGAATTTTCGTGTAACAGTAATGAGGGAATACCATCACTACGTTTCATTTGCCGCTTAACATACGAAAACAATCGTTTCGGACAAGTACGGCTATCATATACTAACTGTGGTTCGTAAGTGGTACGGGATTTGGCAATGGTTTTCTTACAGATATTACGGTATTTTTGGTACTCACGCTTAAATGGTGCATGACCTGTCAACAAGAATAAGTCTCAGAAATGTTTCCTACGCTTTAACAGCTTCCGGGTTTCCTTGTTCATCCATGGAGGGCAATGTGATAGCTTATGTGCTGACCATGGGATAAACGGCGACGTTACGGACTCATATGTAGCCTTAAACTTATTCCATTCATCTTCGATCAATCCATCCGCGTCGACCGACCAATCAGTCTAGATAGCACAGTTTCTGATTTCCGGAATATTAGCTCGCCAGATATTGGGACGGGGTGGAGCAGATACGAATTGTATACCATGTGTCCTAAACTTAAAGTGAATTACAACGTGATCACTGTTCACTAGTGGAGGAAGGTGCTAGATATCAAAGACATCCTCAGAGTGGTGGGTGAGGGCGAGGTCCAGCAGTGACGGAACATGTTGCAAATCAATTTGTGTCGGTTTTGTGATACATTGTACAAGTGCACACTGAATAACGGTAGATAAAAGGTCGCTATCGAAACCACTACCTGGAGCTGTAAGCTCTATCCAGTTGATATGCGGTGCGTTGAAGTCCCCAATGATGAGACAACATTCTGCCATGCTCCAAGAACAGATGTGTCTTAGGATAAAGTCGTCAGCCAGACAAGACGGACTACGGTATATTCCCCCTATAATCACTAACCCATTTCTAGATTTAATCTTGCAACATGCAACCTCACATGTGCCACTGATATGAGCCTCCGATATGGTTGATTGTATACGAAAGTGATCCCTAACGTATAATATTATACCTCCCCCTTTGCGACTTGAAACTCTATCACTTCTGATACAGATATAACCAGCAATGAAAGGAGAACAGTCTATATCAACGGTGAACCAAGTTTCTGTAACAACGATTATATCGGGACATAATTCTTGCACCATCAGACTTAGCTCGGACGTTTTATTTCTAAGACTACGAGCGTTCGTGTAGCACACAATTAAGGTGTTTTGGAAATCAATCGTTCTACCCATACAGGCCTCGGAACCATTGGCCTCCAAGACCTGACTACCCGAAAACCCTTAATGGTAAGGTTATTTTCGCCATTTAATTTGCGAGTCCTCAACTCCGTAAGTGCATTCTTCCACTTGATTCGATCCTCAAGCGGCCAATCTGGTCGAATACAGATATTTGAGGCACGAGTTTTTAGTGCGCTTTTCTTACATTACTTATGACCTCTAGTTACCTTTCCCTATGATAATACATCAGCTTAATAAGTCGATCACTAAGTTGGGAGAGCATTAAATTGAAGATCTTAATGTCCCTAGTTTGATCACGGGTTTCGGCAGGCGACTGACTCTCAGTTTTCACATATATAACGAGTGCACTAATTAAAAAAAGTGATATTTTTCATCGCTGTGTAAGTTCTATTGTTTTGATCGTTTATTACGTGTCAAGGCTACTGTCTTCACTTTAATGGAATTTATTTCAGTTAAAGTATTCGATTAGAGTATTGTTTCTGTTTCTAAGTTAGTTTGTCGTCGGTACTTTCAAGTACTTTGTTTTCGATTGTATCTTTTGGTACTTTTGGTTCTAACAATCTACAGTTTTCCACTTTTTTGGTCATAAATCATTTTTTGACTCTGAGTATGATTACATCTAGTTCTTCTTTTAAAAAAGGAACCCTGTTTAATGACTGGGCAGTGCAAAAAAGCAGTTGCCGACGTCTGGACTTTCGTTATCCCGTTGAAAGCGGTAAACGGTGCGATGAGTGCAAAAGCTGGTGTGGTGTGTGCTACTTATATTGACAGAAGTAGTAGATGATGTTTGTTGTGAACAGAGAGACAACTTGATCGAACAGCGAAGAATGGAAACAGAATGCAATTTGTATGAAGATGCAAGAACAATGAAGTCTGAGTCATTTTGAGACAATTGATGGACATTTTGCAAATTACGTATTTACTATTTGATTGTTAGATTTTATTACCAAGTCCTGTGATTTTTTTGTCAAATACATTCGATTGTCTCCACTCGTGTTCCATTCACTACACTGGTACCACGAAATTTGCACGAATTTAACGCATGCGGCTTTTAAACGGTTCAGTAAAAACGGTAGAGTATGGCTTTGTCAGCAGTGTTGTTCGGATGCAAACAGCTTTCTAACCGAGGCCATCTTGTTGGTAGATGCTGCGAAAAAGTGTTTTGGAAAGCGAGGTCAGCACACATCGGACAGCACTCGCTCTGTCGACACAAATTTGTGTAAAGCAAGCTCAGGTGAGTTCTAAAACAGCTGACTCACACCGACCAAAGGAGAAAAAACAGTCTTCAAAGAGGTCTGTCTTAACTAAAAACTCAAGAAAAGAAGTTTCTTCTGTCCGCTGTCTTCTTAATGATATCCAGCAGAAAACGCCTAGAAGCCGCGATCGCAAGGCTCGATCGGTTCCTGGCGGGAAAAATAAACTGACCTCAAAAGTTTTAGAAAATCGTCCAGCATCCTATAGTATGTTTGACGCGACTGTGGTTGCTTCTCCAAGCAACGTCGACGAATGGGTGCAGGTTGTAAGGAAGAAATAACATAATGATATAAAAGGGAATCCTGCCCCCATAAAAGTAGTTGAGAAATCGAAGGCTGATCACAATGACAGATCAGTTATTTTTCATAGAATCATAGAGAGTGAAAGCTCCAAACCGAGAACTCATTTTGAAAATGACATTGTGTTGATAAAACAGCTACTTAATCAACTTATACTTCAAAATATCTCCGAAGTCACCTTGGTATAGGTGTATAGACTAGGTAGTCTAGCGAAATTGAAGCCAAATCAATACAGACTGCTTAAAGTAGTATACACCATAGAAGCACCCTTCCCGTCATCGCATACACTGGATAGCGTGGCCATTAAAGAACTCGATGTCTTTGATCTGCTAAATAAGCTTGACATAGGTAAATCCACGGGGATCAATGAATTGCGTTCTAGGCTACTAGAGGAATTAGCTAACTTCGTTGCAAGCCCTTTAAGTATATGCTTTAACCTATCCGTAACACAGGGTTGTTTACCAAAAGACTGGAAGAACGCCATAGTATGTCCTGTCTTCAAAACATGTACGAAGCATAAACCTGAGAATTACCGTCCCGTTAGCTTAATTAGTGT